TTTTCCCTCTATAGTGTAAGCTCCAAGAGAACGAGGATATCACTGTATTCACTGGTATATCCTTGGTGCCCATGACATACCACGCATGTAGGTTTGCAAGAAATGTTCACTGAATAAATGAACAAAGTGATTACTGTCCTGGCCAATGAGAGAAAACAAAGAAAAAGGCAAAGTTCCTGTCAGTGCTAAAGTGTTTGTGTTTTAGGGTCAAAACCCACTTGTCATTTCTGCTCCCTCTCTGGCCTCCAGTTTAAGCCCTACATTCTCCTATCTCTATTTTCCTTCATAACTCTCATCCATTCCATCCCCTCCTCTCCGCCCCTCCAACTCCCAGCCTCAGGCCACTCCAGATCCTTGCCTCTTTAGCCTGGATGCCTGGGGAATAGCCTTTACTTTCAACCCCTCTGTCCCTTCAAGCATCTTCCCATCCCCTCTTTTCCAAGGCCCATGAAGGTGGAGTGTTTTAGCCCTTGCCCACCCCTCTCTCTGCCCTGTCTCCTGCTGCTCAGTTCCTCTCTCCTTGGTCCCAGCTACACTGCACACTCAGGCCCTGGACAGGAATCCCTAGCCAATCTCAGGGCTTCTACATTCACCATTCTGTCTGGCCTTTCCTTGGGTGTTTGCAGGGCCTCTTCAGGGGCCTCTCCAATTCCCCAACCAGAGTAGCACTCCCAGCCATGCACTCACCCCTTTCTATTATCTTTGTGTGTTCTTGATCCAGTAACTAAACGTTTCTATTTGTCTGTTTCCTTAATTGTGTCTTTCCCTCTTTGAAAAGTGAGGTAGACAGAGCTGGGATTCTGTCCCCTTTCACACGCCCAGTCCCTAAAGTAGGAGCTGGTCAATAAAGTTTGCTAACTGAGGGTTTAGGCTTCAAATGCATTCTGAACAAATGTCTCTCCTCTGTTTTCTGTCAAATTGGAAAACATTTCCCTCCTGGTGTGGTGAGACTCCCATAAGATGTGTATAAAGTTCCCGGTAGACTGTTGAATCTAGCATACATAAGTCCCAATAACTTCTGATCTTGACCATCCAGTTTGCAGGGGGCTCTTAGTCTGGGTACCCCTGATGGAGACATGACTTCATCTGTGCAGAACTTTTTCTGGGGAGAGACATTCTAGTGCTGGAGGTCTCTCCTTTGAGGAATTTAGGGAGGGTGGAGGAAGTAAGGGTTTCTAGTCAAAGGACCAAGACAGTACAGACACACTCCAGAGACCTAGAGGTAATAGCAGAAAGTCTGCTAGGAGGAGCCACTCACAGTTCAGTAGAAAATCTTAAAGCTGCATGATGCTAGGATGACTAACTTCTGTCACTTGTGCCTTTTACTTCTGATCTTTATAGTTCTCGCCTTGTCTGGTGGCCTTGGAAAGAGTAGTGCACCAGTCACACTGCCCCTTCAACCCCCCACTCCCTATCCTGCCTTCATTCACCAGGTTTGCTATTCTCCCAGATGCCCCATAGCAAAAGAAATTAAACAAGGCCAAAATAAATGGAGAATGTACCTTGTTCAAGATTGGAAGACTCACTGTTGTTAAGATGCTAATCATCCACAATTGAGTTAATTTTTTTATACAATTAAAACACAATTTATACAAACACATAAACTTTGATTCAGATATTGCACCACACACACAAACACAAACTTAAAATCAGTCGTAGACTTAAACCTAAAACTATAAAACTTCTGGAAGAAAACTTAGAAATGTTTTTTGTGATCTTAGATTTAGCAAATTTCTTTGATGTAAAAAACAAAAGCATGATCCACAAAGAGAAATATATATAAAGTGAACTTCATCAAAATTGAAAACTTTTCCCTCCCAAAACAGTACTAAGAAGATGAAAAGACAACCCCCAGAGAGATGAAATATCAACAAATATTGCAAATGTTATGAGAAAAGCAGTGACAAAGAACTTATTGCCAAAATATGTAAAGCCCTCTCAAAACTCAGCAATAACTAACCAGTATAAAAATGGACAAAATATTTTAATAGACACTTCACCAAAGAAGATGTGGATGATATAAGAACATGAAAAGATGCTGAAATCATTAGTCATTAGTAAAATGCAAACTAATACTACAAAAAGATGCCAGTACCTACCTCTGAGAATGAATAAATCAGAAAATTTTGTGTTGATAAGTACATGAAACAACTGGAACTCTCACACATTGGTAGTGAGGATGCAAAATTATATGGCCATTTTAAAAACATTTTGACAATTCCTTTAAAGGTGAAACATTCACTTTCCATGACAGCAATTCCACTGCTAGGTGAATCCAAGAGAAGTGAAAACCAATTTTCATATGAAAACTGTTATGTAAATGTTCACAATAGCTTTATTTACAAAGTCCCCAAACTGGAAACAATTCAAATGTTCTTCAGTGAGTGAATGGCTAAACAGATTTTGATATACTCACACAGTGGAATGCTACTCAGATATAAAACAAAAAAAAAACCCATCAATGCATGCAACAACACTCATGAATCTTATATAGAATGTTCTAAGAAGCCAGACTCAAAGGGTATGATTCAGTGTGTGTTCCATTTACATGATGTTCTGGAAAAGGCAACACTAGAGTAATGAACAGATTAGTGGTTGCCAGGGACTGGAGTGAAAAGGGATAAGTGGGGAATACAGAGAATTATTTAGAGTAATAAAACCACACAAGGAATTATTTAGGGTGTGGAACTGCTTTGTTTCTTGATTCTGGTCATGATTACATGACTGTAGGTGTTTGTCATAAGCCATTGAACTGTATACCAAAAAGACTGAATTTTACTGTATATGAAATAAATAAATTTAAAAGAAACAATAAAAGTTAAAGTCTTTTGAATAATTTGGATTTGGGTTTTTTTGTGTACATTTCTATCATTTTGTATCTTCTACTTTTTCTAAATTTATATTCCTTTGCTTCGTTGCCTCCTTTATTTTGATTTTTCCCTTTCATTCCTTCTCCACAAATCGTTTGGCAGTTTAACACTCTAGTTCTGTTCTATAATTGGATGCCATAGACTAGAACTGCCCAACAGAATTTCTGCAGTGATGAAATGTTGTACATTTGTACTTTCTGATACCACAGCCACATTGGTTCTTAAGTACCTGACATGTGATTAGTGCAGCTGAGAATTTGTATTATTCACCTTTTTCATTATTTGATTTTAGTTAAGTTGAATTTAAATTAAATAATCACATGTGATTAGTGGCAACTCTCTTGAATAAAAATAGTTCTAAGTATTTTAACATTAATACTTAACAAAGTCTAAAGTGAATTGAATAACTACTGAACAATACAAGGATAAAGTCTGTAAACACATCTCCTTTATTTACAAGAAAATCCAGAGCCTACACATGGAGTTCAAAGAAGTGAAAGATACTGCTATTTTCCAGAAAGCTATTCTACCTCTCTCCTACTTTTTAGGAGCCATATATGTATGGAAATGAATTCATGGCAGCTTAAGAATATCTGTAAGTGCCCTCACATGGTTTTGTGCAGGAATGGGTGAGCTACTTGAGACAATTAGATTGCAAGGAGAAGTTTCCTCAGGAAACCAGGAGAGACTCATTATCAGGAGAGTAAAGCATTTGATATTACTGCAGCTCTATTTGTCACTATGCAGAAAGCCAGCCAGTGTATAACAAGAAGGGCAGAACGTAGAGACAGAACACACAAATAAGTCTTTGAAGAAATTGTATACCACTGAATTAAGAGCTCAGATGAATTCTGGAATGTCCACTCATGTGAAGCAATGAATCCATTTTATTGTTTCACAATTAGAAAATATTTTTACTGGCAATACAGAAAGCTCTTATTGATACAAAGCCTACTGTGATCTTGGCACAACACTACCTTACCAGTATAGAAAGCATTATTTGCCTACCACATTCTTGAATTATCCTTACATACCATCAAATGCAGCTATCCTGTTCTTCAAATATGCTTTCATGTATACATGACTTTACTCAGGCCATTCCTTCATTCTTGATACACTATTGAAATGTTATTCATTGTTTTTAAAAAACAAATCAGTTTTAGACATACTAAATGCATAATTAATGATGCATTAATTAATGTATGCAACTTGATGAGTGTGCAGATACATTTTCACCACAATCTATGCCATCAATCTATCACCTCCAAAACTCTCTTCCTGCCCTCATTTATTATTTTTGTAATAAGAATACTTAACATAAGATCTATCATTTTATCAAGAATTTAAGTATACAATATTATTAACTATAAGCACCATGCTGTACAAATCCCTAGAACTTACCACCTTGTGTAAGTAAACTTTGTACCCCTTGACTAATACCTCCATTTTCCTCTCTTCCCAGCCCTGACAACCACTTCTACATCTATGAGTTTGACAATTTTAGGTTTATTCATTCATTAAGATCTTTCTCATATGACACTGCTATAATTTCTTAAGTCTAATTAAGCATTCTTTTCTCTGTATTCTAAAGTCACTTGTTCAAGTCTCAATTTAGTATTATCGTTTTGCATATTTTGAGCAAAACGTATGGTTCAAAAACCAGTCTCTGTAGTCTGACCGCCTAGCTTCAGATTCTTGCTCTGCAGTCTATTACTTATGCAACTATAAGGAAGTTGAGCTTCAGTTTCTTCTTTTGTAAAATAAGGATGTATTAATACCTACTATATAGTTCTATAATTGTTAAATGAGATAATCCACATGATGGGACACAATTCCAGGCACACAGTGTTTCCTCAGTAAACGTTAGCTAATTATTTTTGCCTGTCTATACTCTCCATGATGTGTCTATATTGTTTGTTAGTCATTTTGTTGATTAACTAAAGACATGTTTAGCATTATTAACTCAGTTTGCTTTCCACAAGCACGTGTGTGAGCTCCCCAAATATATTTTAAAGAACCTACGGGAAGGGCTTATAAGTATCATTCCTTAAGAACTTATCTCCACGAATCTCGTATGGCATTATGGTTAGACTATCACTCTAGTGAGGAGTTGTAAAAAAGTAGATATACCTTTGAAACTTCAGGTCTAGTACTCTGGTCACCTTCTGTAGCAATAAGTGACTTGTTCTCTTCAGTCTTCATGGAATTCATGATGAGCTCAAAGAGAATATAACTATCTCCACTCCTTCTAGTGGACAAGACGGAGAACCAAGGATTGAATTTATTCTGTCACCTGAAATGTCTGAAAAAACCAAAAAGACAAGATCTATGAAATAACAACTTTCAAACCCTGGACATCAGGTAGTGTGGGACCTCGTCTTTGATATCTGAGAAAGAAGTCATATGAGGTAAGCCCTGTAGCTATCTAGCTTACTGTGTGGAGTTTCCAAGGCATATCTCAGGAAGGGGAAACAGGCAGAATCTAGCAGTTTCCCTGAGTTGAGAAGACAAGCTGGGTGTTTTAGGAAGCCAAGATGGCTGGAGCTTGTATGGCAGAGAACTAGGGAGAAGAGAGCCACAGGAGCACAGAGTATCAGAGTCTGTAGTGGGTATCCCTTGAGATTTCAGCTTGGCCAATGCATGACTATAATGAAACTGTTGAAAAGGAGCAGGAAAACAACTAACTACCCAAAAGGGGCAGATGCAGCAATTTCTGAGGCTCATACAGGACTGGGAAAAGTTTCAGTTCCCAAATTCTGACCAGACAACTTCATAATTCATGAAGTATCAGGCAGAGTACTCAGAAAGGTATTGCTTCCAAAGCGGGACAAAATTAGCCCTAGTCCTGGTCCAACCCAACAAATAAAAGCAAGCTTTAAAAGTATAAAATGGTTTCCATACAAAATAGCAATATACTAGAACAAAGGTCAAGAAGGTTGATAGGAATGTAAAAATTTCTGGCACCCAGAGTTGTGAAATTAACAAAGCTTGATATCTAGTCAAAAATCAGCAAGCATTTAAAAAGTGGAAAAATATGACCATAATGACTAGAAACATCTGCGAATAGAGACAGATCCAGAAGTGAAAGAGATGATAGAACTAGTAGTCAGGAACATTTAAAGTCATTACCTTGAATTTCTGGCGAAAATGGAGTAACAGGGACTGGATTTCTCCCTATTCTGAAAACAAAACAAAACAGAGCAAAATACATGAAACAATGGTTTACAAGGAACTGGAAATCATGCAGTTAAGGACAGTGACAACTGAAATGTGTCCTATAATCTACTCTAGCAGACTACCTTGAGGGAGTCTCCAGGCCACTGTCACAAGGAAGGGCAGTAAGGCAAAGCTAGCTGGAATTCCAGATTTGAGGAGACAAAGCTGAGAGATGAAAGTGACAAGAGGTCACAGACCATAGACCTGGAGGGACACATGAACAGAGAGAAAACTCCGGATATATGAAGAGGGTTCACCTAAAGTGTTCGGCTGTGTACTGATTAGAGCATCAGCTGAGAAAACTTCCCAGGTTCTTTCCCATGAAAGAACCACCCTAAAACGATTATAGCCTAACTTTCCTCCAACTTTCTCCCTGTACCCCTTTTAGGGAATCCCCGTTTCCTCATATCTGGATTAAGGAGTTTGGCTCATATCAAACTTTTATTGTTCCTGTGAATTGGTTCCTCTGAGCCTTTTAAAAAGGATTCCAGATCCCACCCTCACAGGCTCTGATTCAGTATGTCGGGGTGTAGCTATGGAATCTGCATTTTTACCTGCCTCACCCCACAATCCCCGCCTCAAATGCACACCATGTTGTTTCAACAACTGCCTATGTCACCACAGCATGACTTCAATGCTTTCCTAAAGCCTCATAACCTAGGAAGGTAACCTGTGCTTGCTTACAGAAATAAAGGCTGGATGTCAGTAACCATGGGGCTACAAGATGGGAAAGGAGCTCAGCAGCGCTACCCTAACCTGAATCATTGCTAATTACCATAAGAAATCTCTGCCCCGAAAGAAATGCACCTTGCTAGGTACACGTACTGGTGGTGGGGGTGGGAGGGAACAGAAAGTACGAGACTGCCATACTCAGCTCTTCCTGGAAAGCCCCATCTCTTTCCCGGAATCCTTGCCCTCAGTCTCCACCTACGTGCCCTAGAAGACCTTAAAAAGCACCCCCTCACTACACCCCGGGAGAGAAGGCACTTTGAGCAGGAGCTCCCCTTCTCAATTCCCTGATCAGTGAATAAAGTTTCTGCTCTGCTTAACTGAACCTGGTCTCGTCCTATGGGTGCGAAGGGCACAAGACAGGGAAAGGACCCACCGGGGTCAAACGACTCTCTTGAGCTTCAGGAACACCCAGAGGATCCCCATGTATCTTTTCAGGAGCAAAACTCTTGGCCTTTGAAGCCGAGGGGAGGGAAGGGAATTACCACAACAGGCAGGGCTGCCCAGCTCCCCATCCAAAACCTCCTTTACTTTGGGCTGTGGTCCGTCTGCCTATTGCCCTTGCCGGCCACCCCCTAAGAACTCCAGGTCCTACGCAGGACCAGAAAAACCACTCACAGAACCGGAGAGTCTGTCCAGACGGCGCAGGTGCCAGCGTCCGCACGGCTTCCAGCGGGGGCTGAGAAGGCTGCTGGCCTCGCTCTCAGCCCAGCTTTTCCCGCCGGGAAGCGCGCCCTTGCTCGCTTAGGAATAGACAGTCGCGCTGGCCAATGGGCGGAGAGTCTCTGGAGGCTCTTTTCTCTCATTGGATGGAAATGACTCATCGCTCATCCACTTCGGAAGGCCATTGGCAAGCTCTAGACAGTGACCGAAGTTCCTGGAAGGGATGGCAGAGTCAGCCGCCCGCGCACGGGTGGGTCGGAAGGCGGGGCCGAGGGGACTGCGCGCCCACCCGCCCAAGCTCCCTATTTGTCCAGACGACCCATCTATATGCCCCAGCGATCCCCTCCCCGCAAGGCTCAGTCCACCGCCCGCTCCCGCCTCCCAGGATAAACTAAGCAATCGCTGCCCTGCTCCTTCCCGCTCAGCGGCGTCCCTAGTCTCCTAGTGGAGGATGAGGAGGAGCAATCGCTGCCCTGCTCCTTCCCGCTCAGCGGCGTCCCTAGTCTCCTAGTGGAGGATGAGGAGGAGCAATCGCTGCCCTGCTCCTTCCCGCTCAGCGGCGTCCCTAGTCTCCTAGTGGAGGACTAGGAGGAGCAGCGCGGCAGCTGGGCGGGAATGGGAGGTGCCTGTCGGTTTCAGTTTCCCCGCGGTTTCATTACCAGCGGCAGCAGCCAGCCCGCGGGAGCCGCCGGGCATAGCCCGCCAAAGTGGTTGGCGGTTCCTGCTGTTCTGCAGCAGCGGGGTTGGGGCGGTGGCGGGACGAGCCTCCAAGTGGGATCCCGCGGCCGCAGCAGAGAGAGCTACACCCGGATGATGCAGAGGCCCAGCCTCCAGCAGACTGCAGGTCCCAAAGATGCACCCGCGTCTGCGTGACATCTGGATGGACTTGGCCTGCCCCGCATATGAGCCAACTTCTCGGAGGGGCTGGCGAACACGGACAGTGCCATCCTGGACAAGGAAGCGGCCATCAGTGCTTAGGCCTGGTTCCTACGACACGCATTACTGAGTGAGGAATTTTACCCTTCGGATGAAGACTCCAAAGCCGAGCATCCCTAAACTGATGATCAAAGAAGTGCTTTGCATGGGGCTTGAGCAAACGTCTTACTGTTCTACTTGCTGTAAGAACAGAAGGTCTTACTGTCTAAGAACCTGAATAGAAGGACATGCCTTCAGTATTGGGTGTTATTTTTGAGAGGCTGGTCAAAGAAGGGGAGAAGATGGCTGATTAAGGGGTGATGGTGACAATTATTTTGCAACTGGTAGAAGGGCAGATGTTTATGTAAAAGTTGAGAGTTTTGATGGAATAATCATGATCATGTTTCTGAACTTAATGTCAAATATAAAGAGATTTCCTAAAATCACTGCTTAAATTACACGGGTCTTGTGGTGTTTGGAAAGAGCAAACTTTGTAAGTATAATTGTAAAAATAAATATCAAACAGAAAAAGAGAAGGGAAAACTTACTCTCTCGAATCGCTGTTATTCTTAAATCGTCTGAAAGTGGTACAAGTGACTGGCACCAATATCCATCGAAGAGTAAATCATTGCACAAGTGAGGAAGGAGACCCAGGCATCTGGGATCAACTTCCCCTTTGACTGTCACACTGCATTTCAATAGAAGAAAAGGCTGACTGGCGCCTCCTGATTCACCTTCCCGTAGGTGGCAGGCTTGATCTTCGGGAAACTCTCTGGAAGACAGTTTTTACTTAAAACAAAATCAAACCCGAAACCTTTTCACATGTGAGTCCTAAAACTATAAACCGAAACCCTTTCACATGTGATTCCTGAAGCTGTAAACTGAAACCCTTTTCATATGTGATTCCTGAAGCTGTAAACCGAAACCGTTTTCGTATGTGATTTCTAAGGCTGTAAACCTAAGTTTCTTCCACACGTAATATCTAAAGTATAAGCCTATATAAAGGTAGAACCTTCCTTTGTTAGACGAGCTGAATTTGAACAAATTATTTCTCAGCTCCCAGCTGTAATAAAGACTTCTTCCTTCTCCATTCCGTGTTCAAGAGCTCTGTTTCTCACCGCTGCTCCTGCTACACAAGGAGACTTGATCTTCCTTTCATTGTAGAATCTGGAGGAAAAAAGCTATGAAAAGCAAAAGGTGGCAGAGAATGCTGTTGTGGAAATTACCTGACATCACTGGAGATAGAGACTTTTTCCTGGCAAAAAGCACTCTTTAGGGAGAAGCACGTGCACATTCCGTTAGCATGAAGCACCTGGTCAGCCATATGAAAAAGTCTGGGTTTTGTTACAAATGTGAAATTTATCTTAAATGGAGGATTTGAAGCAAGGGAGTAATATACTGACATATCTTTAAAAATCACTCTGGCAGCTGTGTGTGGGACAAACTCTAGGAGGACAAGAGGAGATGTGGAAGGGAGAGGCAGCTAAGATTCTATTCCAGGATGGCAAAGATGTAGAAGCCCGGACTCAGATGGTAATGGTGGAGGTGTTAGAAATGGCTAGATTCCACATTTATTTTGGAAGGTGAGCCCATGGAATTTGCTGTGGCTGGGGTGTTCCATAAATAAGAGAAAAAGAGGGCTCAGTGATGATTCCTGGGTTTTTGACTTGAGCAACTAGAAGGATTAAGTCTCTATTAACTGATATGGGGAAGTCTGAGGAAGAAGACGCTGTGTGTGCCAGGAGTGGTGTGTGTGTATCAGTAATTCTGCTTTTGACATGTTGACTTGGAGATGCTAATGCACTCCAACTGAAATATAAGGAGGGAAGTGGACATTCAACACATGATGCCCAGGGAGGTTTAAGAAGGGGCAAGACGCCAAACCTGGGTGAGAAGAACATAGGTAAAAATAGAAGATACATGGAGGGAGAAAGCTAGGGAAACTGGGACTTATGATGATAACAATGTTGGCCATTAACTGAGAAGTTTGTTTGTTTGTTTGTTTGTTTGTTTGTGACAAAGTCTTGCTGTACTGCCCAGGCTGGAGTGTAGTGGCATAATCTCAGCTCACTACAACTTCTGCCTCCTGGGTTCAAGCTATTCTCATGCCACAGCCTCCTTAGCAGCTGGGATTACAGGTGCCTGCCACCACGCCTGGCTAATTTTTGTATTTTTAATAGAGATGGGGTTTCACCATGTTGGCCAGGCTGGTCTCATACTCCTGACCTTAGGTGTTCTGCCAGCCTCAGCCTCCCAAAGTGCTGGGATTACAGGCTTGAGCCACTATACCAAGTCTCAGAAATATAATTAAAGTACAGGGAAAATTAAAAGGGAGAAGAAGGTTCACAGAGATGTATCACAGCGAATGATAAATACAGAAGCCTGCCTGTTTCCCAGAGCCCCTGTGAGTTAAATGCTCTGTATTTTACCTCCTAGTGGACCTCTCTTGTTCCTTTGTAATGGTGCCCCATGCAGCACATGCGGCAGACCAATTCCAGAGCTTTCCTGCTCCTCGAGCCTAGGAATAGCTATGCATCTTCCTCTTTATTTGCTCCTCACGGGAGTAGCAACTGATCACATGATTGGAGTAAGTAACCTTATGCCATTTTTGGTAGCAATCTTCCATTTCTTCCTTAAGTATAAAATGGACCCTCAGAGAGAAACTAACTGCCTAAAGCTGCAGGTTCAGAGTAGAGCTCTAGCTTTGCTTTTCCCTTTGCAGCTGTGCTCTGAGAGCTTTGATGCAACTTCATTGCAATTTGGCATCAGTGACAGAGTAGGGATGCTCGGGGAATCTTTTGAGCCACCAAGGAAGCCTCACTTTCAGTTAATGCTTATATGAGGTTGCTGAAGTTGTCTAACATCCCTGGGGGCAAAGTGTTTGCCATAAAAAGGAACATTACCTTGGCAGAAAGCATTTTGTTGGCTGGAATTTATTATAACTATGACAAGAATACTTTTGGGCAAATAACTAGTGCTTGTCAAACCCATAAAGAAAAGGCCTCTCACATGGCTGGGAGAGGTGGGAATGGATGAAGTACTAAGGTCAGGTCTGGTGAAGTTAGGGAATAAGCCCAGTGTTTTTGGAGAGCGATTCCTTCTTGAACCCCTAAAAGATGCACCTGAAGCTTAACAGTAGGCTGATTTCTGTATTTAGAGTTGCAAACAACATGTTCTTGGAATACAGAGGAAGGCACCACTACCTCTATCCTGAGAGTATATCACAGAGAAAGAGATTTAAATTTAGACTTGATGGATGAGAGATGAGTAGGAGTTTGATAGAAAGGAAATGCGGAATTGTCTGGATGTACAATGGCAGAAGCGGCAGGAAGGGCTGAGAAGAACTGGCTTCTGGTGATAGGTTAGAGATAAGAGCCTGAGCACCACATTCTGGAGCTTGCACTGGGGTATGTAAAAGCTTAGATGGGATGGTCTTTTTCTTTCCTCCTATGGGTTCATAGTGGGCTCACCTCACTCACTCCTGCTAATAAGCTGTCCCTATTTGATAGAGAACTGGAGTGAGGTCTCTAAGCCTCCAGCAACTGCTTAGGAGCCAGCCTTGAAGCCCTGGCAGCTAACTCTTCCCATATAGACCCCATAGTCCATCCTATCTTAAGAAGACAGTGCACTCATGAGAAGGATAACATCCCCCACCCCGGACTCCAGAGGTTCCAGGGAGCCTCTCTTTCTCTCTCTCTCCAAGAAAAGAAATATTCATTGAGCTGTGGGTAAATGTGAACATGGTTTGGGACCAACGTGTGGCTGAGTTGCTTCACCTCCAGCCCCACACAGTTGTTCTAGGAGATGGATGGGGGTAGGGTGATCAAAATTTAGTGGAACCTCTACTTCCAGTGGGGTGGTGCTTGGTAGTTGACTCATTTTGGTCCCATTTGATATTTGCAGTCACTGGTTGGGGTAGGTGTGACTGTTGCTCCCATTTCACAGATTAGAACAGGATAGTTTGCCAGGGGCCACATGACTAGTTGGAGGAGGGAAAGGGTGTCAAATAAGGTTTTAACCATAGAGCTTCACGTTTCATTAGGATCTTGCAGGGAGACCTTGGGCAAATTCCTTTCCCTCTTGTAGTGGTGGTGGTGGCGGGTGGGGGGGTGGGGGGGCGGCGGTCTCCATTCCCTATTTGTAAATTAAAGACGTCTGCCAGTTTGTGATTCTCTATACTTTAACGTTCAAACCTATCACTTGGATAGGCTTATTTGTTTTTTAAATGGGGATTCTGGGACCCCAATATATTTAAGTTCAGTAGGCCTAGGGTGAGGCTCAGTAAG